GGGCTTCTCTTCAGATAATTTTGTCATTAGAAGCCTCAAGGTTGCTCACGCCTCCAGCTGGGAGCAGACTGATCTCCATCCCTGCCTCGGAGGTGCTTTGCGTGGGGCCCGGCCACGCGCTCCCCGGCCCCATCGGCGCCTGCGTGCCCGGCGGGTACCACCACTGTGCTCTCAACCAGAGCGAAAGAAGAAAAAAAAGGGCACTCATTCATCCGACAGTATGAAGTGTATCTGAAACACCAGCCAGCACGCCCCGCTCCCTCCAATTCAATTACTAAAGTAGGCTCTTTAAAATAAAAAAATAATATATATATTTATATAGCTATACAGAGAGATACAGAGAAAGCAAAGGAGAGAGATAGGCTACTAAAAAAATCAAGAAGCGCCAGTTTTCTGCTACAGCTGTCAGCAAAGAACTGTCACCTTACATCATACCCTCCGAGATGGTGAAGATAACGCAGGCAATGACAGCACGGGAATGCAAAAGAGGGCAGATAAGTCACTTCTGGTAATGAGACACAAATTAAACTTTCAAAACATGTGCATAGCTTTATTCGTCTGCTTCAAACTAACCTTTTCACGGAGCTTCAGCGAAACCCGAGTGTGCAAAATGCATTTCTAAAAAATAATGCAAGCAAGCTTTCACATTTACAGTGGCAGAAGGACAGAAAGACTCAGACAGAAATCACACACTGGGGTGAGTCAGGAGAGAGATGAAGAAACAAGAATTGCACAGCTTCGCATTCTGAGTCACTGACTGCAAACATAAGCGTTTCTATTTTGTTAACTTTAAGCAAGGCGTGTTTACTTCTCCTTTACAAAAAAAAAAAAAAGAAAAAACAACCCACAGTAACAAGAACCACAGCCTGGAAGGGAATAAATCCTCGGGGTAACGGGATCCCGGGTGCCGCGGAGCGCCCTCACTCCAGAGCAAGGCTGGTTCCACACCTCCGCTTGTTTTGGCTTTGCAGGTGAAGCTGCTTTTCGCCCACAGAACAGCAAAGCCACTTCTCTTTCTCTTACCCAACTCCCCTCCGAAGTCACAGAGAACGGCTCGTGTTGGGAAAGGAAAGGAAAGGTGCCACCCCAGAGGACGCTGTCCCCGAAGGAGGCTCCGACACGATGGGGCGCAGGGACAGACCCTTGGCCAGAGCTCGGCTGCTCAGGCGCCAAGCCAGGCTCTCTCCTGTACGACTGAGCACACGCACAAGGCACATTTCGTCCGAGGGACACACACACGGGCGTGTGTAAAAGAGCAAACGCCAGCCGAAAAACAAAAATAATTATGCGGAATAAACTAATTAAACAGGCAGAGTTCTGGCCTCTTTATGTACTATTTTCCAGGCAGTTGTAAACCTCAAGAATTTTTCCTACATGCCTTTAGACTTTCCTTATTCTTCCCTCGTTTTACAGAGGTACTTGTTTTTCCTACAGGATCTGTGATAAATAGTCAAGTAAATTCCCTTTTCCCCTCCTCGTGCCCAGTGGTCCTGGTGTGAGCCATGAAGACAAGTGCTTCTGGCCCTGTCCGTGCCATGCGGCAGCAGCACCTCGACGCAGCGAGACCTCCCTCCTCTACAGCCTGAGCTGCAAGTTTTCACGCTCAGCTGCCAGGTTTTGTCTGGGCAGAGAGCGTGGCCTTGCTTTTTCCTTGGAAAACACCTGACTCTGGGCACCGTCCGCTCCCCAGCGCGCTGGGGCAGCTGGAGAAGGAGCCGGTGCCTGCCCGTGCCGGGGCCGCGGGTGGGAAGGAGGCTACTGCAACCTTTTAATACTGCTGGTTGGCTTCACATTGAGATAAAGCGTTAGAGAGATCTGTTCGCAGAGATGAGCAATTTCCTTCTATAGATAGAACCAACCAGAAAACAGAAATACTACAACCGGAGACAAGACGACAGTCGACTGAGATTTTTCTACCTTGCGAATTCCTCAGGCATCTCTCCCGCAACACCAGCCACTGAGGAAGGAGAAGGTGAAAACCTCAGGGGTTTGCGCTACCCTTCCAACAGCAGCTTGAGAAAAGGAAGGAGAAAATCAAATAAAATAAAATAAAAATGCACAGTGTTCTCTCAAGTTAAAGAGTTCTCCTTTGCTTGCGTTTGCATAGAAATTCCTGTAGGTCAGCACCAAAACCAGGTCCAGCCCCCTCCGACACCCCGGCCCGCCCAGTTCCTACGCTCCCCGCAGAGTCAGTGGCTGTTACAGGAGGGTTCGACTATCCGCAGAGGAACTATATGGTCATGTAAGAAAAAAAAAAAACAAAAAAAAAGTGCATCACACATTCTTGATTTTCAGGGTTACTTTTAGCAGCAGCAGCATTAATCCAAAACAATGAACAGTTGTAGGTTCGTTCTTAAATGCAGCAACACTTAATGAAATGTCTTCAAGGAAGGTCATAAGAGGGTCCTTCTCAAAAGGATAAAATGAAAATTAGACTATTCAGTATAGACCAAAAAGGAGATAAAACAAAAATTAAAGACACAATCTTATTTACATTTAAAAAAAACATTCCTGTTAAAATATCTTTACAACACCTAAGCAAAAAAATATGTATTTTAAGAATAAAGCAGAAATTCCTAAAGCAGTATCCATTTTTGGAACCCTTATTTAGCACCTGAGGAAAGACCGTATGGAAAGCAGACAGGTTTCTTTTTTTTTGTTCCTTTTTTTTTTTTTTTAAGAAAACTGTAAGTTGTGTTTTTGCTAAACGTTCGTATGTTTGCAGTACACAAGTTTCATACCACAGAAAGATATTAACTATTTTTTGTTTTCATCTTCCTTTTAAAGATACTCTAGTCATGAATAAGGCTGTAGAAAAGGGATACTGCTATCTTACAAAATGGCTTTAGAGCTCTGGACGCGTCATACGAAGCTTTCTGCTTAACAGTCAGGATAAACAGAGCTCAGCACGCCCCGGCCAAAGCACAGGGAACGACTTTCGCTCCTGCCCCGGGACCGGGAGCAGCCCCAACACCCAGCTCTCCCGGTCCTCGCTGGGCACCCACGGAGGATTTGGTGTCACGCCGCCGAGCGCCGCCACCGCCGCTTTGGAGGATCTCGAGCGGGATAGAAGGAATCCAGCCCTACCCTGTGGTGTAACGCGTCATTGTGCAAACGTCTAAAGCTCTGGAATCTCCGGAAGGCAGCGCAGCCGGCGGCGCGCACCGAGATCTTCCACTCCTTCACGCCAGCCCGGGTTCCTGCTCCTCAACTGCTTGTGCCAGGGCTTTTTCACACGGAAAAAAATGCTTTTGTGGTGGCCAAAGCTGGAATCACTTCGGCTAGTCCACCACGCTAGCGCTCCTCCAGCCCTCCTCCAGCCTTACGCACTGTGTGAAAACGTGTAGCAGCTTTAAATTAGGTGTAGCCTCGTTCTCTCCCCTCCTGACCTCGACCATCTCCCTTGTAAACAGCCTGTGCAGGGAAAAGGGATCACCATGGACACACGTAGAGAAAAATCTTCTCGGGATGAGACTCCTGAAAGCCTGGGACACCGCAGCGTTACTGAAAACAGTGAATCGAAAGCCAAGAACTGAACACGCAGGAAAACAACTAACAGTTCTGAGACACGTCTGTGGGAACGTCATCGCTCCCAGACGTCCCCAGTGTCACCCACCGGCCACTTCTGGAAAGGGGCTATGGTGACACTGTCTCGAAGGCGAAAAGCACTAATTACACAACACAACTGAGAAAACTTCCATCTCTCTTTTTTTTCTGTTAGCAGGCTTCAGCCAGCTGTTTCACCCTGTCACCAAATAGCTGGCATACTCACAACCTAACGAGAACTGGGCTGGTTTTCCCACATTTCACAGAAGTTCACAGCAGCTATGAAAAGCAAACAGCGGGATTTACAGTTCAGAAAGGGCGATGGCTGGAAGCGACAGAATCCATGCCCCGGAGCTACTCACATGGTCAAAGAGAGGAGAGATTTCTAACAAAAAAAACAGGTTTCATGGACAACCGAGGTGGGTTTAAACCAAACCCAAACTCCAGGCAAGCCTTTAAGCCGTTGCGTTGGCCATCCACCGTATGGGTGGAGCGGGAGGGAGCAGAGAGGCTCAAGGTCCCCAAACCAGCAGCACCAGGAACACGGAGCAGCTCTTAAACCATCTCTTGGAGTGGCTGGAACACTCCCTGACCCACCAAGGAGAAAGCAGAGCCTGCGCTGGGTCTGGCCGGCGGCACATGCTCCAGCCTCCATCACAC